TCCACTGCCAAGCAATAGGCCCTCTCTGCTGCATATGGCCCCAGCTTCCTCCACCAGAAACATTTGTTTATTTAGAGAGGTAAAAGTAGCAGCTGCCCACCCTAGCCTGAGAAAGGATGCCAAGGTCACAGTGGCCAGTGCCACAACCAGGTCCTGGATACCTGCAGTACCGTTCAAGGGAAGAGGGCAGCGGCCCAGGCGACCTACCCTTCACTAGGGTGTGTGCCTCTCCACTGGCCATGTGGAAACAGCGCCACTTAGGGATGCCTCTGCTTTCAGAGGGTGGCTGGCTGTGGAGTCCAGCTCTTGTCACCTGAGAGCTGGCTGTGGTCTATAAACCCTGGGGAACCAGCAGGGAGCAGGGCCAGCACATACAGGTCTGTTAGCTTGTCGACCGCAGCAGAGTCCTAACATAAATACTCTCTCCCAGTTGGGTAAGAACAACATCTAGCGGACAGAGCCAGGCAGGTACAATGGAGCAGAAGCCAGGCTGAAGCATCAGCCTGCCAGGTTCCATTCTAGTATCCGGGTGGAATCTGACCACCAAGGGTCAGAGCTGGTATGGCACTACTTGTGTAGGTCCAGTACAGAGGTGTCTTAACGAGGGTTTCTATTGCTGTGAAGAGATGCTAAGACCATGGAAACACTTATTTTTTATTTGCATTTTATGTACATTGGTGTTTTGCCCGCAAGTATGTCTGTGTAAGGGTGTTAGAGTCCATGGAACAGGAGCTACAGACAGTTGTGAGCTGCCATGTGGGTGCTGGGGATTGAACCTTGGTCTTCTGGAAGAATGCCATGCCCTTAACCTCTGAGCCATCTCTCCAGCCCTGACCATGGAAACTCTTCTAAAGGAAAGACATTTAATTGGGGTGGCTTACATTTTCAGAGGTTTAGTCCATTATCACCATGGCAGGACATGGTGGAGTGCAGGCAGACATGGCTCTAGTTCTATCTTGATAGAAAGCAATAGAGAGTGGACTGTCTCACTGGGCATGGCTGGAACACGTATGACTCAAAGCCCACCTCCACAATGACACACTTCCTCCAACCAGACCACATCTACTCCAAAGCCACACTTCCTGATTGTGTCACTTGGGAGCCATTTTCTTTCAATCCATCACATTCCACACTCCCTGGCCCCCAGAGGTTGTAGCCATATCATATCATAATGCAAAAATGCATTCAGTCCAACTTCAAAAGTCCCCATAGCCTATCACAGCCTCAACAATGCTTAAAAGTTTAAGGCTCAAAGTCTTCTTGAGGTTCATGCAATCTATTAGTTATAATCCCCTATAAAATCAAAATCAAAAATCAGACCACATACTTCCAACATAATGGTACAGGATACACATTACCATTCCAAAACATAGGGAAGGGGACATAGTGAGAAAACACTGGACCAAAGCAAGACTGAAAACAGCTGGGCAAACTCCAATCTCTGCATCTCTATCTGTATCCCCATGTCTGATGCTAAAACACTCTTCACATCTCCAACTCCATTCAGCTTTGTTGACTGCAACACACTTCTTTCTCTTGCGCTGGTCCCACTCCCTGTTAGCAACTCTCCTCAGCAGGCGTTCCACAGTTCTGGCATCCCTAACATTTTGGGGTGTTCAAGGCAATCGACTTCACAGCTTCACACAATGGCCTCTCTAGACCTCGATTCAGGGATACCCCTGACAAATGCCTGACCCCAGTGGCTTTCATTAGGTACAGAGGCAAATTCCGTAACACCTTTCACCTTTTTCTTCCTTCTTCTTCTTCTTCTTCTTCTTCTTCTTCTTCTTCTTCTTCTTCTTCTTCTTCTTCTTCTTCTTCTTCTTCTTCTTCTTCTTCTTCTTCTTCCTTCTTCTTCTCCCTCTCCCTCTCCCTCTCCCTCTCCCTCTCCCTCTCCNCTCCTCCTCCTCCTCCTCCTTCTCCTTCTCCTTCTCCTTTTAGGTTTTTCAAGACAGGATTTCTCTGTGTAACAGTCCTAACTGTCCTGGAACTAGCTCATGTAGACCAGGCTTGGCCCCAAACTCACGGAGATCTGCCTGCCTCTGCCTCTGCCTCCTGAGTGCTGGGATTAAAGGCATGTGCCACCACCGCCTGGCTCTTTTTCCTATCCTTGACTCTAAAGTCAGAACCATGTGGCTGACGCCTGCCAAGATCTGTTGTTTATTGGGGCTGGAATATTGGCCCACATTCAATTACATCTTTACCAGCTTTCTGTTCTCCATGGTGTCCTTCACTGCCTAAGCTTGGCTGTCCTGGAACTTGCTCTGTAGACCAGGCTAGCCTTGAACTCTGTCAGCCTCTGCCTCTGGAGTGCTGGGATAAAAGGCTTTAAACTTAAATTCCTTTCACAAGTTAGAAACTTAACTGGGTAGGATCTTGCCCTGAGGTCACTGTAGCAGGCTTTCTTGGACCACCAATCAGCTCCCAAACCAAGACATGAAGACTTGTTATCAATTATGAATGCTCAGCCTTATCCTATGCTTGTCCCACTAGCTCTTATAACTTAACCTGTTTCTCTTCATCTATGTTTTGCCTCCGAGTTTTTCTTTTTTTAACCTTTCTTTAATTCTGTACGTCCTACTTTTCCTGCTTCCTCCGTGTCTTCCTTTCTGGCAACTGCCTGGCTGGCCCCCAGCGTTCCCTTCGTTCTCTTCTCTCAAGCCTAGATTCCTCCTCCTACTTATTCTCTCTGCCTGCCAGTCCCACCCATTCCTCCTCTGTCAAGCTATTGGCCATTCAGCTTTTTATTAGACCAATCAGGTGCCTTAGGCAGGCAAAGCAACACATCTTTACACCGTTAACAAGTGCAGTGTAATCAAATATAACACACCTTTACATAGTTAAACAAATGCAGAATAAACAAATGTAACACACCTTTACACAGTTAAACAAATGCAGAATAAACAAATGCAACACACCTTTACACAGTTAAACAAATGCAGAATAAACAAATGCAACACACCTTTACACAGTTAAACAAATGCAGAATAAACAAATGTAACACACCTTTACACAGTTAAACAAATGCAGAATAAACAAATGTAACACACCTTTACACAATTATAGTAATAATCCTCAACAGGTCACCACTCCCTTTATTCCATTTCTTAATCTGTTTATCTCCTTGAACACAGGATTTGGCTCTATTCCACTTCCTGGTACCCCTTTTCTCAATCTGTACATTTTGTATTTTTATTTGCTAAGCTTGCTCCTTTTCATTATAAATCTTCATTAGAGTTACTTTAAGATTCCCTCTGCCAATGGAATTAATCTAAAACTCTTCACTTTAGCCTCAGGCTGACTTTTCTGACAAGGGCCATGTTCTCACCAAAATATCATAAGACCAGTCTCAAGGCCATATACTAACATTCTTCTCCTCTAGAACCTCTTTAGCTAGCTGCCCACAGGTCAAATCACACTCAGCACTGTCTTCCATGTTCCTACTAGGATGGCCCATTAAGTAGCACTTAAAGTATTCATCTGTGTTTCCTCTTTCTTTCTCTCTCCTCCCCCTTTCTTCCTTCCCTTCTTCTTCTTTTTTTTTTCCCCTCAAGACAAGGTTTCTCTGTGGAACAGTCTTGGCTGTCCTGGAACTCACTCTGTAGACCAGACTCGCTTTGAACTCACAGAGATACACCTGCCTCTGCCTTGCCTCTGTCTCTGCCTCCTAAGTGCTAAGATTAAAGGTGTTAATTTTAACTGCTGCCCAACTGTTTTTCTAATCCATAATCCCAAGGTCCATATTCCCTCAAACAAAAGCATGGTCAGGCAATACCACAGTCCCTGGTACCAACTTCTGTCTTAGTTAGGGTTTCTATAGTTGTGAAGAGACACCATGACCACAGAAGCTCTTTTGAAGGAAAAACATTAATTGGGCTTGCTTACATTTTCAGATGTTTAATACATTATCATCATGGTGGGACACAGTGGTATGCAGGCAGACATGGTGCTGGCTACATCTTGATCAGGAAGAGTGGTCTATCTCATTGGGTATGGCTTGAACATACATGAGCCCTTAAAGCCCACCTCCACAGTGGTACTCTTCCTCCAACAAGACCACACCTACTCCAACAAGGCCATGCCTCCTAATTGTGCCACTGCCTTTGGGCATTATTTTCTTTCAAACCATCACAAGCGGAAAGGATATATGTAACAGGTATCCACTCCCTCCATTTGTATGCACATGGCTGCAGGGACACATGCAGGTCACAGCTTGGGGCAGCATGGCAGGCAAGGGGGTGGAAAGGTGAAACCAGACCAAGAGGGCCCCCACAGATCATCAGGACCCCAGATCCCTGGAGAGTTGCAACAGAGGGGCATGATCTAGCATCATGCTAGCAAAGTCAGGGCTCCACTAGAGACCACACTCAACCTATATCCTACTTTTTTTTTCTGATTTTCTTCATGTCCAGATGAACTTTCTGTCCGGCTCAATTCTGAAGTTGGTGCCTTCCTCTTTGAATACTGATGCCAACACTGCCACAGCAGGCTCATAGGCTGAGTCCCAGAGCGAGTCAGCTTTTTGTTACTGAGGCAATCAACTTCAATAGAGGAAAGGCTATGCTGGCTTAGTTTAGGGTTCCAGTACAGGTTCATCTGACCCCATTGCTCCGGGATGTGCTGAGTGGCATAGCAAGGGGTCAGTAGTAAAGAAGAGTGAGCCAGGACACCACCACCTCCCCACTTGGAAGGCATGCCCACCTTCCACTGAGTTCCAACTCCCCAGAAGACCACAACAGGAGCCAGGTCTTTAGAAAATGTATTTGGCAACTCCTGAACCTACATCTTATACAATTTGTCTGAGGCAGATAGACCACAGGGCAGGGCAGGACCCCCTCCTATCCTCTACCACACTGGACACTGGCTCAGGGACAACTTGCAAGGTGCCCACCAAGGGAAGACATGGGGTCCCATCTATGTCCCAGTTCTGGCAGGACAGGTACAAACTGAACAGTGTTGAAGGCCACACGTTCTCAATGAAACAAACCAACACGTTTTGTTCCTGGTGATCTTCAACGATCAATTTTATTACAAAGAACAGTATCAAAATATACGAATCTGTTTAAGAACCACCAAGAAGTGCAGCTTTTTAAAGGGCCAAGTAAGTATCAAAGTAGGCAGCTTCTATCTCCCTCCAAAATCTCCTGGAGAAATGGGGTTGATGTCCTCTCAATAACTTAAAAGGGTGAGTCTGGCTTCTGAACCTGGATGCCCGTCACAAATCCTCATGGGAGGGTGGCTGTGTGGGGTTTTCCTCTGTCACTTCTGTCAGAAGACAGGTAGGTCACTGAATGAGTACTCAGTGATGGAGGGCCTCAAGAATGGGTTTGGATGGGGTGGGAGCTGTATGTAGAGGCGCTGGTGTCCCAGTACCCAGTGGGGTGCCCAGGCAGGCACTTTACAGACTTAACCAGAGGCTGAGCAGTGAGAGATCTGAGGTAGAGGGCAGGCGGTGACAGCAGGCAATTCTGTCCTCCAGCTGCTAAATTCCTCTGTTATCCTTAGTATCTCACTGACCACAGCACTCCTAGGTGCACGACTGTTTGCCCTGCTCAGGGTGGGTTCTGGGAAACTACTGTCACTACTGACCTCTCTAAACACTGCCTGTTCCTACTTTCCACAACTCCTAGAGTCTGTCAGACTGAGCTCTCTCTCTCAAGGAGAGGAGCTGATGCCCAGCCTAGCACCTATCAATGTGGCTTGGTTTAGAAACAGGGTTTTTGCAGATAATTGGAGAAATCAAGGTGGGCCCAGTCAAGAGTGACTAGTGGTGTCCTTATGAAAAGGGCAAACTTGGACACATGGAGACCATGCAAGGACTAGGAACATTCTGGAAGGTCTGAACAGACCCTACTTTACAGCCTTAGAACCAGACACAGACCTGACCCTGGACCAGAGTTCCAGGACCCAAGATCACTGCTGGGAATCCTGCAGGGGCTGGTGCCTCATGAGGCTGTTGCATTCTGCTCCTCCTTCCCCATCAGTGGGACCAGCATGCTCTGCTTTCCCTTTTTCTCCATCTGTAGACCCAATCTGAAGGCATTAACTGAATGCTCCCCTCTGTACTGGCCTCTCTCCTACTCCTGCTGAGTCTTCCCCCTCCATAACCCTGGGTGTGCAGTCACACAGGTTTTATCTGTTCATTTCTTATTTGGCAGTTTCCAAGGGTCTGGCTAGCCTTGTCCCTGGGGAGGCAGGACACACTGCCCCTAGCCTTCTGTCACTCACCGCCTTCTGTTTTCTGTATACAAGCATCCTCTGTTTCCTCAAAACCATCAGGACACACACAGACAAAGCTCCCTGGGGTATTGTAGCAGTTCTCATTTTTCTTCTTACACACCTTGTCCACTAGTGAGCATTCATCTATATCTGAAATAAAAATACTCCATTTCAATAAATGGTTGCAAACACACACAAACACACATACACACCCAAGAAATTTGCTCATTTACAATTCATTCACCAATAAAAGCAATGGGATCATGAATGACCATCAGAGAAAGAAGCAAAGGTCAGGGGAGTGCTCAGAGGAGAGCTTCCTGGTCCTTGGTGGCAAGGATACAACTGATGGAGCAGGACATGAAGATGGGAAGCCCAGTGCCCAGGGCAGTGCCAAGACAACAAGAGATGACTCAAGTCAAGACAGCCAAGTCCCCTGGGAACTGATGACATGGGGGCTCAGGCCAGTGTGGCCACAACAGGTACAACACAGTCTGTGCAGGAGCAGACCCCACAGTCAGTCATTTCCCAGAGACTCAAAGGCTCCTTGACAAGGGATAATGTTCCTTCTAGAAAGTTCACCTTCTTCAGCGGACAGCTCACTGACCTGCACACTCGCCGTTCTGCTTGCTGTAGCCAGAGATACACTCTTTACAATTGGCTGGGCCTTTTCCCGTGCAGCCCACACAGGTAGAATCACATTCTAGAAACAAGGAGGGAAGGTGTTAGACAAATTCTACTTCAGTAAGACAGGACAGGACAGGACAAGCACACCACAAAACAGACCCTAGCGACATGGAGGAACTTAAACACAAAGCCACCTCAAGCCCAGGGACAATCTGTTTCCCCAACCATGAAAGACCTCAGTAAGAAGAGCCAAGCGGAGGCTGCAAGCTCTATGGGTCTAGTGTCACATTTCACCGAGAGGACACTGCAGCCTGCCAGCTTAGAGCTGCAGACACTGGGCGGCAACCCCGCCCCTGCTGCTCTGTGAACTGCATAAGACCCTAAAATACTCAGACCCTTGACTGGCAAATTTGGGAAGCAAAAAAAAGAGTGTGAAATGTTTTCTAAACTGGGAATGATGACACACACCTTTAATCCCAGTGCTTAGGAAGCAGAGGCAGAGGATCTCTGAGTTTGAGGCTAGCCTGGTCTACATGATGAGCTCCAGGATAGCCAGGGCTACATAGAGAGATTCTGTCTCCAAAGAAAGTGTGAAAAGTTTTCCCTTGAGGGAAAAGCCTGCCGTGGCTAACATTGAAGGACCTGAAACAGCAGCATGCTGCAAGACTACTACGATGTGTGAGACACCTGATGACAGAGACTAAGGCTTTTCTGCAGCATGTCTACTGCTGAGGTCACCGCTTCCAAGTTCCTGAGCAGACCGTACAGGGTCATCCTAGTCTCACATGTTGAAGGAAGACAGAGAAGCCCTATGGAGGATGACAGGTCCCAACACTCTGGTCACCTTCACATGTGTACGAGCCGTTGACATTCTCACAGTACTGTGCATCGCTGCAGGGAGGGGTCTCTGCTGCACACTCATCCACATCTGGAACAAAAAATGAGGCTGTGAGCAGAGCCCAGGTGGCAGGGCTGAGGCACCACCCACACGACTGCAATGAGCTCCTTCGCTTCCATACAAGCTCAAACCACCCCTTCCTTCCCTCCCCTCCTCAGGGCTTGAAACCAGCTTGGGGCTGAGTTCTGAATTTGCCTAAAGCCAAGCAGCTGGTGAGGGGTGAAACCGAAACTAAAGAGAGAGGAGGGCAGGTAGTGGGCACCAGGGGCTACGGAAGACCAAGCAGTGCCAGCTCCATGGTTGCCCACAGTACAGGGTTTGTAGCATGAAAGGGGCAAGGGCACAGCAATAGCAGTGCCATGGCAGGGCCACATGCCCCGGTACTGTGATGTTACCAGTTGTGGTGGGGACACCTGCTTAACCTAGATCTGAGTCCTCAAAACGAAGGCCGTAAGAGTGGCCTTCCACAGCCCTGAGAGGGGCAGAGATAAAAAGCACCATCAGGTAGGAGTTAGATCTCTCTGGGGGTGAGGGAGTCTCCCCAGTAAGGAACCTTTCCCCCTCCCACCCGGTGCCCTCCTCACCCACACAGGCACCGTCCACACGTGCCCAGCCCACTTCGCACTCCACACAGTCTTTGTTGGTCGGCCCTGAGCACGTCTTGCAGGACTCATCACAGGCTGGAAAGCAAAGGCTGTATTAGCAGGGCCCTTCAGGGAACGGGGTCCCGCCCTCTTCCACAGAGAGGAAAGCTTACTTTAGAAATGAGGCTCAGCAGGAAAATAACAAAAACTGAAAACAATAAGATGTCATTGCATGCAACATCCCTCCTGAATTCATAAAATACGAAGAATGTGAAGTCAACCAAGGGTGCTGCCTTGTGCAGACAGCAACCACAGGGCCCTGGAGGCTGGCAAGGACTGTGCTCTGCTCAGTGAGAAGACAGGCAGAGCTGACCACATCGTGGGAAGCACCTGATCAGGTAACCTTGACAACCAGGTAAAAACAAAGGAGTTGGTGGAGCCAGTGCTCAGGAGTAGCCTCCAAGGGTCCTGGTTCCCATGTGTGGCCACCTCTTATGGGCCCAGAAAGTCCTTATTCTGAGAAGTTATTTTATGGACTGCAGACACATCCTTGCTCTCTACCTTGCCTGGCAGGAAACTGAAGGACCTGTCCATCCTTCAGGGACAGCCATGGCTGGGAGCAAGCCTTCCATCAGAATATTCTAGGTGATCATATGGAATACGGCCCATTACTAGGTGCTGGGGCAAAAAGCCAAGGGCATTTGGTATAGGAATGACAGAAGCTGACACACATGCACTCAAGCTCCATGTCATGCCCACAAGAAGCTTTTCCTGCTGGTATGGTTTATGGATACTTCAAAAAGGCCACACCTCTAGGCCTTCTGCAATGGTCTGGACACCTGGGGTTAGGGTGCGCTATGTTCCTAGCTATGCGGCTTCAGGAGGGACTGCTCCCCACAGCCTCACCATCAACCAAGCTGGCCAGACTCGGTGCTGCGGCTCACCTGTGCAGAAGCTGTGTGTCTCGTTCCTCAACAAGCTGAAGTAGCCATCCATGCAGTCGATACACAGTGGCCCCTTGTATCCGACGTGACAACGGCAGGACCCGTCGCCCTGTCTGCTGCCATCTCCACTGCAGTGGCCGTTTCCGCTACAAGGCCTCTCAGACCCACCCTGGCACACTTGGAAGACAGAAACCTTTGCTTGGAGCATGTCCCGGGGGGTGGCCACGTTGTTCTCAAACAGGGAGAACCACAGCACCTCTCAACATGTTCACAGCCCAGCAGCCATTGGGATGCTTATCAGTTTAAACCTGGCATCATTCCTGCTGGGCAAACAGCGGTCTGAAAGCTAAAGGAAGGGCTAGAGACAGACACCGACCACCTAGAACCTGCAGGATCAACACTCAATGCCTGTGTGGGGCCAACTGTGGGACAACACACTATGTGCCCAGGGAGAGAAATCCATGTTATACCCAGCACACAGTCAGGGAGACAAGCAAGAGGCATCTCAGCCGTGTGCAGTGCCTGAAACTGAAACTGCTGCTACCTGACCCAGCCCGATATACATGGCTAGGCTCCAGTCTCAAGACTCACTTCATAGAAGGAGCAGAAACAGTTAAGCAAGTCTATAACCTCCATCTCCTTGTCAACAGTACCGATGACCTCCCGAGTCTGTGATCGGTACCCTAAAAACACATTAGGACCAGAGGCTCTGAGCTCTACAGTGCAAAGGGGAACTTTCCTAAAGTACGCAGTGATGCAGGAGCCCCCAGAGCGCAGGGGGACAGTTACCCATCTGAGGAAAGAGGAAGGGTTCCCAACTCCATAGAAAGATGATGAGGTTAAGTCCCCCCTGTGCTTTTAAACACAAGGGACTCAGAGAGGAGTAACAGGAAAGATGCAGACTTGGGACTTCCCAAGAAAAACGTACCCTGACAGTCTGGCCCATAGGTGCCCGGAAGACAGCATGCTTTCAGTGTGTGTACACAGAACCACTCAAATAGGTTAGGGTACTCCTTCTTCCTGAGGATTTAGAAATGGTCATTAAATCCCATGAAATGCAGGTCCTGGCTCAGTGGCAGAGCACACACAACACCACCCCTAGGAGACTCCTGAAGCCTTGGACAGTGTCAAGCCCTAAATACACTATAGACCTTCACAAACATACTGGTGGGGAAGGTTAATCTGTAAATTAGGCATAGTAAGAGATCCATGACAATATCGAAAGAGAATATGATACACTGCAATGAGACTTAGCTCTGGAATTTTCCATGTTTTATCTTCAGGCTGAAGTAACTACCTCAGGTGACTTGGGATAGGAGGCACTGTACAAGCCCCCAAAGCTTGTGTGATGGGGGAAGCCGGAGTCAGGCATGCACAGGAACTCTTTGCAAGCTTCCTGGCTCTAAGAGACAATGGCGGTAAGTGGAGAAAATGGGACAGGGATGTTGGATTGCCACTGCTTCTCTGTCTCTCCTGGGAAGGGACTGCAAAACTACCCATCAGAGGACAGGGTCCCGGCCACTCACAGTGAATGCCACCAGGCCTCTAGCTGCTCCTCCTGCTGTTCCAAGAGTTGGTTGCACTCAAAGTCGCTGCTGTCACACAAGCCCTCCATGATCTCCAGAAGCCGGATCTCACTGAAACACAACCTGTCAGCACCCCCAAAAGCACCAGCAACAAAAAGCACCAGTCTGCTCACTTTAAACATGTCCCACCTAGAGACTACTTCAGTGAAGAGGGGAACATCCCTAACTAACGGGCAGGGTGTCCAGGGGACCCAGGGAGATCAGGCGCCTTTGCACCACAGCATGGGAAGGAAAGCTTATTCCATTACCCAAGGAAGCCAGAAGCCCTTAAGAGGGCTGAGGGTTCCAGTCCATAGCTGCCAATCCGCGCAGTTCTTGGGCACCCACCTGGATTCGTACTTGGACAGCGTCTTCTCCTCCCACGCCGTGTTGCCGCCGCCGAAATTCTTCCTGGCCGTGTTGGCCATCCCCTGCGGAGGAGAGGGCACCGGCTCGGGGGTCCGCTGTGAACCCCGCTAGCCCCCCGCCCTGAGCCGCTGTCCCGGGCCAGCCTCCCGCTCACCTGGTTGAACTTGTCCACCAGCGTCCGGCACTTCTGGCACAGGGTCGTCTTCCGGGAGGTCATAGCCGCAGGCGGCGGCAATAGCAGCAGCAGCAGCCCGAATGCGGCAGCGGGCGGCAGGTGCATGGCGGGGGTGGGGGGGCGGCTGCCGGGCGACCGGCGAAGAACTGAGGAGTCTCGGCCTCCGCCCACCGGCCCGCGCGCCGGCCGTTCCCCGGGCTACTTCACTGCGTCGCCGAAGCCACGCCCAGCTCTCAGCCGGCGCGCTGCCATTGGCCGGAAGAATCCGCCCTGTCTGATGTGGACCAATTCGGGCTCGCCACGAGCAGCGACCAATGAGAAGGCCCCGGGTCAGCGTCCCGCGAGAGAGGGGCGGGACCGCAGCCTTTATTCTGCCCTCTGGCCCCGCCCCCCTACTCGCGGCCTGCGGTGGCCATCTTTACTCAGGGTCGCGAGCCCTCTCCCCTGTCGCCTATCTGCGCTGTGGTGGCCATGTTAAGTTCGGGCAAAGACTTCGCTTCTGGGCCGCGTTTCCGCCTCCCGCTTCCTGCTGAGGGCGGTCGGCTGAGCTCCGAGGGGTCAGGACGAGAGAGAGAGAGTTGAAGAGTCCAGAGCTCGCCGTTGGGGATTGAGGTACTCGGGAGGTGGCGAGGCTGGGGCTCTTCCGAGAGGGCTGCCTTAGCGCGCGTGACGGCCTTTGAGTTCCCCACCCTGGGGACTGAACAACTCACCTGGGTATCGGACTTCTGTCACATGGGGGCTGGACGTCTCACCTGAGGCCTGGACCTTTCGTCTGTCCTCCACCCTTCCCACCTGGCGGCCGACCTGTCACCTGTAAACTGAGCTCTGCTCTAGGGGACCGGCTCAGTGTGTTTGGGGGCCTCAGGCATTGGGCACACAGTGACCTGCCGAATTTTAAATGGTTTGAATGAGAAGTGATACGCAATTGTCTGGATTTTAGAGAGCACCTGTTTGTGCAGCTCGTACAGTTTCATCTGGTCTTGGGTTGACAAGTAGGCCTCGTTTGCACCAGATCGTTGATGTTTCCAGCTTAAAGCCACAATTTGAGCGAGTGATTCCGACCATTTCCGTGGAAGCCTAGGAATCCCCATTGACAGGGACAACAGGATCTTTGAAGGGTACTACCTAGTCTGAGGTGCCCTCCTTCTCCAAGTCACACTTGCTAACAGTATGGCCCTTTTGAACTTGGCCGCTCGAAGGTGGTTAGCCATCTGGCTGCCCAGCAGCTCCCCCCATTCCCGTGGTAGGTGGTTTTTTTGTACTGGTGACTACCTTGACGTTGTTTTTTGCTCCTGGTTGAACATTCTGACTCACCCTGAGCTTCTGTTGTCTTTGAAAATAGCTGCTGTTGGTCCTCAACAGAAAGCATCCCTCTCTGGCGGGGAGGAAGTGTCCTGGCTGGGAGGAAGGAGGATCAGGTGAGTTTGAAGGATAATTTCAGCCTAAATCTTGGATTTCCTTTAAAGGCGTGAGGAGCAGATGGTTGGGACAACTAAGTCAGAGTCCCTCAGGCAGCACATCCCACACTGCTGCTGTCTCGGTGGCGTGGGTCCCACCCTCTTCTTTTTTTGTGACTGGGTCTCACATAGCTAAGGCTGACCTGGAACTCTGTATAACCAAGGATGACCATGAACTTCTGATCCTCTTGCTTCTGCCTCCTGGGTGCTGGGGATTCACACATCTATCAACACACATAGGTTTTACGTGGTCCTGGGATTGAACCCAGGGTTTTGCACTCTTACCAATTTGCCCAGGTTGGTCTTGAACTCTTGTTCCTCCTGTGTCAGCATCTCGACTGCTAGGGTTATGGCTGTGCATCGCCATGCCCTTGTCTGTTTTTGTGCTAGGTTGAGAATATTATGTGCACATTGTTCCAGAACCTGACATTTTCTTTTAATCAAAAATCATACTTTCCAATTCAGTACACCTTATTGTGTCTAACACAAGTCAGGTGGGGTTTTGGCCAGACTCACTGTAGCCTTGCAACAAATCTGGGACAAGCAAATGCAAGCTGGGCATTATTTTTTTTATTATTTATTAATTTATTAAAGATTTCTGCCTCTTCCCCACCACCGCCTCCCATTTCCTTCCCCCTCCCCCAATCAAGTCCCCCACCCAAATCAGCCCAAAGAGCAATCAGGGTTCCCTGCCCTGTGGGAAGTCCAAGGACCACCCACCTCCATCCAGGTCTAGTAAGAAGCTGGGCATTATTTACAGTTCACTAAAGTCCTCATGGCATGCTTTCATGCAGGGCTGATGAATGACTTTGGGGCATTTTCTTGGTTCATGTTGTGGGACAGCCTAGCTCACTGTGGGCTGTGCCGTCACTGGACTGGTGGTCCTGGGTGCTATAGGAAGGCAGGCTGAGCAGGCCATGAGGAGCAAGCCAGTAAACAGCGCTCCTGCCTCCAGGTTCTTCTTGCCTTTGATTTCCTTGGATGATGGACTGTAAGCTGTAAGATGAAATAAACCATTTTCTCCCCAAGCTGCTCTTGGTCGTGCTGTTTTGTCACAGCAATATAAACCCTAACTAAGACAATAGGAATTATGAGAATCGTTGTATTTCAAAGGGTTGGAGTTGGAGAGATGACTCTGTGGTTAGGAGTTCTGACTGTTCTTTCAGAGGACCAGGGTTCAGTTCCCAGCATGCACATAGTTCCTCGCAACTGTCTGTAATTCCAGTTCCAGGGGATCAGATGCCCAGGCATACATATAGGCAAAACACCGTACACATAAAAAATAATTTTCAAAAAAATTAGAAAGGTGTGTTGGTCAGGGTTCTCTAGAGGAATAGAACTGATAGAATGAAGTATATGTAAATATGCAAACATGTGTATATATATAGGAGATTTATTTATTAGAATGGCTTACAGACTGTGGGCTAGGTAGTCCAACAATGGCTGTCTCCCAGCAAAAGGTCCAAGAGGCTGGAGGCTTCAGATGCTCTTCGGTGTACACTGAAATCCTAAAGAAAGAGGCTCTAATGCCAATGAAGGAATGGAATTGCCAGCAAGAGTGAAAAGAACAATGAGGCAAAGAGAGGAAGCTTGCTTCTTCCATGTTCTTTATGTAGGCTGCCAGTGGCAGGGGTGGCTCAGATTGCAGGTGGAGCTTCCTGCCTCAAAAGATTTACTTAAGAAAAAATCCCTCACAGGTGTACCCAACTGCTTGGGCTTTAGTTAATTTCAGATGTAGTCAAGGACAGCTGTGATTCCTCTTCCCCCAACACGTTACCAATGTGACCTCAAGCAGAGTATGACATTGAGGAGCCGTGTTTCTGTTCTTTCTGAATGTATAGGATACCACTGTTAATGATGGGCACTTCTTGTCTTTGGTTCTGTGAAGGTCCATGAAGTTTAAAGCACCACATGACTGGCAAGAAATCATCAGGCAAGCCAGAAGGTTTTTGGCGCACATCTTTAATTCCAGCACTCGGGATGCAGAGGCAGGCAGATCTCTGTGAGTTCAAGGGTAACAGAGCCAGTTCCAGGACAGCCAAAGCTACACAAAGGGACCCTGTCTCGAAGAACCAAAAGAAAAAGAAAAAAAACAAATCATTAGGCAGGCAGCCCCTGCTGTTTCTGGGCCTGCTGGTCACTGCAGCTGCTATCCACCTTGTTGCCTGTCCCTATACCAAGGTGGAGGAAAGCTTTAACCTACAGGCTACACATGATCTGCTGTACCACCAGCTGGATATAGACAAGGTGAGGCTGCTGCTTGGAGCTGGGACTTGCTTTCCCTCCCCAGCCGCTGTGCTGACCGCCCATTCTCCTTGCAGTATGACCACCATGAGTTTCCTGGAGTTGTTCCCAGGACGTTCCTTGGGCCATTGTTGATTGCAGTGTTCTCCAGTCCTGTGGTTTACGTGCTTTCGCTGTTGGAAGTATCCAAGTTTTACTCTCAGTTGACAGGTAAGAGCCTGGTATGGGTGAGACCTGTAACAGTATCACATGATCACTGTGGGGTGGTGGAGTAGGGTGGGAGTTGGCAGGACTCACTGTAGCCTTGCCACCAAACTTGGGACAAGCAAGTAGGAGCTGTACCTTAGACTCCACTGACGTCCTCATGACATCGCATGGGATGCATGCCTAGAGAAGAAGGTGGCGACAGCTTCCCCTGCTCCTGTTCCAGCTGGAGGACCTCAGCAGTAACTCCCAGAGCCTTAGCTGCTGCAGTCTGCATACTCCACAGATTGGAATGAGCAGACAGCCCTCAAAGTCAGAGGTCATCGTACTGGTCTGCATACAGAGCCCCTGGTCCCTTCTCTGTGCCCATGAGTACTTTGTAAAGTTTTCATTGATGCAGAAGATTTCTTCTTATTAGTACAATAATATAATAAATATAATACAGTATTTTAGCACAGTTTATGATATAGCAAAAAGACCAGAACATTTAACTTTTTTGTTTGTTTCTTCAGATACTTGTTTTGGGGTATTGAGAACATTGTGATTCCTCTTTATTTTTATATATGTATTTGCTTGTTTGAAGCCAGGGTCTCACTATGTAGCGCAGGATGGCCTAGGACTCACAGTCCTGCCTCATCTTCTGAAAGCTGGTTTGGCAGGTGTGTGCCATCACACCTGACTTCTCTAGCTGTCTTAAAGTGAGTCTCCATTGGTGACAGACACACTGCCATGTTGGCGATCAGAGCTCACCCCACTTCTATAGTTAGGACCCATTCTTTTGGTTTTGTTGTTGTTGTTTGTTTTAATGTGGCTGAGTGTTTTTGCTACACATACGTATGTGCACCATGGATGTGTCTCTTGCCTGTGGTAGTCAGAAGAAGAGAGCAGATCCCCTGGAACCGGAATTACAGATGGTTGTGAGCCACCGTGTGGGTAGTGGGAATTGAACTGGGGTCCTCTATATTTACTCTTTAAGTGCTCTTAACTGCTGAGAAACCTGTCCAGCACCCCTTACTCATCTGTATTTTTGTTTTCTTTTTTAAGACATTTTCTCACTATGTAACTTTGGCTGTTTGGATGTCCTGGAGTGCACTCTATAGACCAGGCTGGCCTTGAAATCAGAGATCTGCCTGCTTCTGCCTCCTGCCTCCTGGGGATTAAAGATGTTTGCCACCACACCAAGCCATCTCTCATACCCACCCACCCACCTCCACCCCTGAGCTGAAGACTGAACCCAGGCCTTTGCGCTCACTGGGCAAGCACTCTACCACTGAGCTAAATCCCTGACTCAATACTTTTTTAAAAAAATATA